GAATAGATGAAGTTATTTTGGGGGCTAGAAACAATTTTCCCTATCCTTTATTAAGTCATTTTTTCACTTTTACTTCTTTTAATGTTTAAATTACATCTTACTTTCACGTTCATCTAAGGGGTGGGCGTCAGATCCCATTGAAGGAGTCGTCTGGGTTCAAGGTCAACCTACCGATAACATTGATATCAATGGTGAGAGTGATGATACGACGAGAGAGTTGATGACCGGGGCTGCTTTTAGTGAGGCGTTCAATGCCACGAGCCAAACGGGTGCATCACAAGCCCAAATGACTTGCCCCCCACTATTTTCTCCAACGCATGCATGAAGATGAGCAACGCCCTGCCACTAAAATGACCGGAACCACTACGACGAGACCAAGGGGAGCTACACCTACTGTCATTACTTGTCTTCCATGTCCTCCTAGTCTATGAGCACTTCATTCTTGTGCACGAATCCCACACACATCAGCTGCCCCTTTCAAAGTACTGGAGGATGTGTAGCCTCTCGCCACTTGGTCATCGGAGAGAGCAATGCGGTAGCTCTGGTGACAACTAGGCTTGCAACGGAGATCATACCGGTTGGCTTTCTAATGAGATGTAGTGAGTTAAACAGATTCAGATTTATAATATTCTGGATATTTTTCCTCATTACCTTGTTTCGTTCTAATTCTTTAGGCAACACGACAGTGGAACAATCAGAATAGGCGAACATCGATCGTTAGCCATGGAAAAAGTCAATCCGGCCTCTCAAGTTATTTTGACAAGTGACATGTTAATTGGGGGAGATCAAGTGATCTCAACCCCTACCCCTGATGAGTTTCAAAACACAAGTGTTGATTGATTTTATTTTTGCAAACACTTAGCGTTGATCCCAGTTTTGGACTTCTCCTTCAGGTGGACAAATGGAAGTTGATGCAATGAATGATGGCTTTGAATTGGGATCGGCCTAAGCACCTACCGAGATTTGTCACGAAAAAAAAACGAGAGAGAGAGATAAAGAGTTGGCCGAATGTTTTTTGACCAGGGAGTTTTTTTTCTTCTTTTTTTTTGTTCTCTACAAAGTTACATGATTGCTTACATATATATAAGATCATACCACTAACACTGTCCACTAACTTCTAACTTCTTCCACTAACATAATCCACTAGCTTCTAACTTCTTCCACTAACATTATCCACTAGCTTCTAACTTCTTCCACTATCCACTAACTTCTAACTTCTTCCACTAACATTATCTACTAACTTCTTCCACTAACATCCTACTAACATGGACTCCTACAAACTAGGGAAACTCCCCTTAATGGGTAGGACAGATTAACCATTTCACATTCTCTCTGTTAATCTGGACGAGTGTCTAAGTTCCTTACTCCTAGCAGCTCCCGCATTTCGATGAACTTCACCCTTGCTAGTGCCTTCGTGAGAATGTCCGTGAGCTGCTCGCTCGTGCTCACGAACTCCATTTTAATCTGCCCTCATTCAACACACTCACTAATGAAATGGAAACATGTGTTGATGTGCTTGCTTCTTCCATGGAATACTGGATTCTTCATCAAAGCAATCGCGGACTTGTTATCAACGAAGAGAGTAACCGGCTTGGGCTCACTGCAGGTCACCTCACTGACTAAGCTCCTTAGCCACAGAACTTGGCATCCTGTAACTGTTGCCGCCATGAACTCAGCCTCGTAAGAGGATAATGCCACTGTCTTCTACTTCTGTGATGTCCAAGTGACCAAACTGTCACCTAGATAGAATGACATGCCGCATGTGCTGCGTTTGTCATCTACATCTCCCGCAAGATCACTGTTAGTGAATCCCACCAACTCTTCATTGCATCGACTCCGTCTGTACACCAATCTGTAGGACACAGTGCCCTTTACGTACCTCAGAATATGCTTGACCACCTGACGATGCACAACTGTAGGTTGCTCCATGTACCTACTCGCAATCCCCACGACATAAGAGATATCGGGTCGGGTGTGAGTTAGATACCTCAAGCAACCAATGACACACATATACTCTGTTATGTCTACCGGTGTTCCTTCAGGGTCCTTTCCAAACTTTAGCTTTGCCTCCATAGGATACTGGGTCGGGTTGCAATCCATCATTCTGAACTGAACCAAGACCTTCTTCGTGTAGGCCGCCTGCCTTAGTGAAATGCAATCACTTCTATGGTCCACCTCAATACCTAGATAGTAGGAAAGTAGCCCAAGGTCGATCATCTCGAACTCCTTCATCATCTGCAGCTTGAAAAACCTGATCTCATCCGCACTCGAGCCCGTGACGATCAAGTCGTCCACGTACACACCAACAATGAGTACATCCCCTCTGTTGCTCCTAGTGTATATTGCCTGCTCCTGAGAGCACCTAGCAAACTCGATACCCTTCAAGCATTTGTCAAGCCGCATGTTCCACGCCCGTGGTGCTTGGCGTAGACCGTAGAGTACCTTGGAAAGCTTGTAGACCTTGTGCTCTTCATTCTTCACAACGAACCCTTCAGGCTGGACCACATACACTTCTTCCCGGAGATCACAATTTAGAAATGCTGACTTGACATCTAGATGGTGTGCCTCCCATCCACGCTGTGCTGATATCGCAAGAATCATCCTGATGGTATCAAGTCTCGCTACAGGTGCAAACACCTCATCGAAGTCCACGCCATGCTATTGAACGTAGCCCTTCGCTACAAGTCTCGCCTTGTGCTTGAGGATGTTGCCCTCGCTGTCCTTCTTCAGCTTGTACATCCATTTGAGGCCAATGGGTTTGGAGCCATGCGGTAGCTCCGTGAGTACCTAAGTCCTATTCTTCTCGATGGCCTCCATCTCCTTTTCCATGGTTGTCCGCCATTCTTGCTCTGTTGCAGCCTCACGATAGCTCGTGGGTTCTTCAATGGCTAGAAACAGTTCCTCTGTGGGAAGGTTAACCACCTCTGTCTCTTCATAGATATCTGCTAGGGAATGGTAGCGTACAGGTTCATATTGAGAGATAGGAGTGCCCGGTGTTCTGAACACCTCCGATGCAGTGGGAGTCACTGCCTCAGCATCTGCACCTAGGCCGCGGCTGTCGGCGAGCTGGATCGGCTAGTTGGTTGTCTGGTTCGGCCTCTTAGTTGTTCGGTTTGGCTGGCTACCTGTCCAGTTTGGCTGGCTATTGCTGATTCCCCTTCCGTCGTGAACTCCACCCAGTTGGATGGTCTTTCATCTCCGTCTGCACTCCACTCCCATTCTTTTCCTTCCTCGAATGCAACATCTCTGCTGACATGAACTTTGCTGTGTTAAGGATCATAGAGGCGATGAGCTTTGCTCCCTTCTTCTACGACAATATACACCATTAGCATGCTCCGGTCGTCATGTTTCTTGTGATAAGCTCCTGCAACCTTCACATGTTCCACACATCCAAATATTCTCAAGTGTTCTAGATGAGGTCTCTTACCAAACCAAGCTTCGTAAGGTGTGAGATCACACAACGCTTTGGTTGGTAGTCGGTTGAGCAAGTACACTGCATGCCTAACTGCTTTGCCCCACATCGTTCCTAGCATATGCATACTCTTGAGTAAGCTCCTTGCCGTGGCCATCGCTGTGCGGTTGTGCCTCTTCACTACACTATTTTGCTGTGGGGTGTACGGTATAGTGAGATGACGCTTGATGCCGTAGTCTTCACATAGCTGAGTGAACTCCTTTGACAAGAACTCGCCACCTCGATCTGTTCTCAGGGTCTTCACCTTGTGGCCACATGCATTCTCCACCTCAGTCATGAACTTCTTGAAGGCTTCACAGGCCTGACTTTTAGCCTTCAACATGTACACCCACATCCACCGGCTAAAATCATCAACGACAAGGAGAAAATATTTGTTACCAGTAAGTGTAGATGGGGTGATCGGGCCACATAGATCGGCATGTAATAACTCCAGTGGCTTCTGAGCTCTAAAATTTGCTTGCGAAGGGAACGGAAGTCTTGTTTGCTTAGCGACGAGGCACCCCTCGCATATTTGGTTCGGGTGCGATATTTTTGGCAACCCGACAATTATCCTCTTATCGGTCATCATCTTGAGGGCGAAGAAGTTGACATGCCCAAGATGAGCATGCCACAACCAAGCTGGATCAACGATGTTTGCCGTCAAACACACCGGCCTGCATGTCTTCAACTTTATCCTGTACAGTCGGTTAGCTGAACGTGTCACCCTCATCAAGAGTGTATCGTTCCTATCAAACACCCTCAAGAACTCATCAGCAAGAACAACTTTACTCCCATCTTCAGTCATCTGACCAAGGCTAATGATATTAGATTTCAAACTCAGAATATAATATACCTCAAGTAGTAGCCTTTGATCACCGTTTTTGCACTGGAAGAGGATAGAGCCTTTTCCCTTAATCTTCACTGTGGATCCATCACCAAACTTGACTGTTCTGGTGATCTTCTCATCGAGCTCCTTGAACTTGCCTCGGTGACCGGTCATGTGGTTGCTAGCTCCGTTGTCAAGGTACCAAATGTCGTTATCGACTTGTGCCTCCCCCACTACGAGTAAGTCCGGCCCCACCTTCTCTTCATTAAGTAAGATGATAGTGGGTGTTTCCTCTAACATAGTCATCATCAAGGCTGGCTCCTCGTCATAGATTGGGGTGAGATGAGCCTCCTAATCATGATTGCGGCATTGCTTGTGACACTCCGACTGAAAGTGTCCGTAAACTCTGCAATTGAAGCACTTGATATTGGATTTGTCTCGACCACCGCTCATGCTACTCTTGCCCTC